CGACCCATTCATTATCATCTCCCATACCTTACAATATCAAGATGCCAGCCATCATTACGTGGCTGCTCCTGGCAATTCTCACACTCGCCGGGGCATCACCTTCCCATCGGAAACTCTCTCCTCGGTCCGTATCGCTTCCTCTTACTCGAAATCCCGCATACGTGCCAAACGGCCCTGCCGAGTATGCCCGCGCTCTGTATAAATGGGGCAAAGACATCCCCGACAGCCTTGCTTCGCTGACCTCGAGCAAAGGAGAAGGTGAGTTGCTGCCGATTTTTGCCCCCGGGCGTACAGCAAGCTGACAGACTGTATGTAGTGGGAGATGTCGCTGCCCCCAGCATTAAGAACGATCGCGAATATACTAGTCGTGTCGGGTTCGGCACACCCTTCCAGTACTTGAATGTCGATCTGGATACTGGAAGCGCCGACGTGTAAGTTTTAAGCTTCAGTGAGATCATCAAAACCTACCCCACTGACAAGCTATAGATGGGTCTACACAACTGAGACCACCCAAGTTGATCTTGGTAATAGACCGATCTGGGTGATCGAGAACTCGACCACAGCCAAGAGAGTCAAGGGAGCCGTTTGGTCTATCACCTATGGTAAGCTTTCGACTGCCGGGAGGAGTGAATATCACAGGAATCGATTTAACCTTCTCTTACAGGCGACACGAGCTCCGCCTGGGGCAATGTATATACCGACCACATTGAGATTGCTGGCATCGCGGTTCACGATGCGGTGGTTGAGTCTGCTGTAAGCGTCTCACCCTTGCTTGCTGCGGAGCCGAACCTCGACGGTCTTTTTGGTCTCGCTTACGGGCTTCGCAGCGAAGTCAGGCCCAACCAGCCAACAGTCCTCAGCACTTTGACAAAGCAGCTCGACCAGCAATTGTTCACCGTGGACCTCAAGTACCACGGCGCAGATGGAGCGTACACCTTCGGCTACATCGACAAGGACCGCCACATCGACGAGATCAGATACACCCCTCTGGCTCCCGGTGCCAAGTGGTGGGAGTTCAATTTCACCGGAGTCCATGTTGCTGGGCAGAATGTGTGGTACCTGGCCCAGTGGCCAGCTATCGCTGACACGGGCACGACTCTCATGCTGCTTTCCCACGACGTCGCAGAATTGTACTACAGCGCCGTCCCGACGGCAAGACAAGAAAGGGAGCTGGGCAACATCTGGGTATATGACTGCAAGAGCCCGCCCCTGCCGGATTTCGAGATTGGTTTAGCCAACGGCTGGGTCGGTACCGTCCCTGGCAAGTACATGAACTACACCACAATTATCGACAACTCGACACTCTGCATGGGTGGTTTGCAGGAAATTGAACACGACTTTGGGATTTTGGGCGATGTCTTCCTCAAGGCACATTACGCCGTCTTTGACGTTGCCGGAGGACGCATCGGGTTTGCTCACAAGGATTTGAAGCCGTGAACACACGCATTTGATATGCTGATAGAGTGAATCTGACATCTCAGACGAGGCTAGTGGCGGAGACGAGACACTCGTTCTCTTTTTTGACTGGGAGACGTTTTTTTGTGTCTGTTCGCATATGTATTTGACTGGGATGCATTTTCTGTGATTTAAGTTGAGCGGGAGGATTTTGAAGAACGCTCTTCGGGGAAAGAATACGGACGGCGGACATAGAGGTTTGATCCTCCTTTGTTGTTTGAAGGGGTTCGGCATGCTAGCCTTATAGCTTTCAATTCCACTTCGTTGTCACATGTTTTTTTTCTTTTCTTTTGCCTAGATTGTTCCGTTAGCGGCATAAACACACGATATGGATGAAGATCAGGCAAAACTCGAATCTAAAACACACGTGGACCGTATAAAAGAGAGCCCAGAAACTCACCCGAGCAAACAGCTCATGAAGTGGCACCCAGGCGGGAGTTTTGTAGACAAAAATATTTGGACTAAAACAAGCTAGCCAAAGATACTCTCATGAGATATTGAAATGTGTCTAATATACACGGCTTCTACCGTCCGTCATCCTGTTCCGTCCATCTCACTTCTGTGGGCCTTCTCAGCTCATATCGAAGATGTAGTAGTATCCAACTCCTTACTACCCGAATCCTTCCTTCGCCCCACTAGATAACTCCTCCCCTTTCCAGCTCATCATTTCCAAAAAAAAAACACCATAAACAAGCAGGAATCCAAATCCAAAAAAAAAAAAAAAAGCGGTGTGCTAAAAAGTCCCAACGCAATGTTCATTTGGGAGAGAAAAAAAAAAAAAAAAAAGGGGAAGCAAAAAATCAGATCGATAAAAACGAAAGGATTTGACGGGTGTAGTAGATAAGCACAGATTTCATCCCATCCCAGTTGGGATTGTGGTGGTAAGTGGAATAGGGGCAAGCAGGCAAGGCAAAGCAAGGCAGGGCTATCCAACAAGAAAAAAAATGTGATGCAAAATTTCGCTGAAGTGAGAAGAAGAAAAAAGAAGGCCGTTGTTATTCATAAAGTTAAAAAGAGGGTATTTGTATTAAAATAAAAAACTCTCGGTGTGTTCTAGCGGGTTAATTGGGGGGCGTGATATGGCGTTGATTGTGTGTGTGTGTGTGTGTGTGTGTGGTTCGGGGGTATTTATGCTTGCTTCGGAAAATCATCGTTGTGTGTGTTGTTTTATGTATGTATGTGGTTGTGGTTGTTGTTGTTGTTGTGTGTGTCGTTATTCCAAAAATCCGTCTAGAGTAGTTGTATATAAAAAAAAAAAGGCGAAAAGTCAAGTTTGGAAGAAGAAATGGGGTTGTGTGGTCCGGTCCTAGGCATCCTGTTCGCGATCACCGTCTGAAGCGCGGGAGGAAACAAACACATAGTCAGCAGCTGTCAGATTGGAGGATATGGATGCGGACATGGATTTGATGGATTGAGAGTCCGCGTCGCGTCCAGCTTTGGCCAGGAGAACCGGGGATGATCCCTGGAAGGATGGAGGAGGCGGTCGGGAGGAGGAGTGGTGATGAGGGCGGTATGCAAGATGATGATGATAGTGGTGGTTTCGGTGTTGATATTCACCTTCGCTCTCCACGGGGGTTGGTGGGAGTGCTCCTCCTCCTGGAACTTGCGCCTGCTGGTGTTGTCTCGCCGTGCCTGGTGGTCTCTGTCCAACGTACTTTTGGTTCTGGTCCACTTGCTTCTCTGGAGGCTGTTGTTGCGCCTGGGATCCTCCTAATGCGGGTCCTTGCTGCTTCAGTCGCTCCTCCATTTCGCGGATGCGCGCCTCGAGGGCTTCGAGCTCTGATGATGCTGAGTTGATTTCCTTCTTCCTGCATATTTTGAGGGAAACAAGTTAGCGCAACTTTTCGTGGCACATGTGAATGTTGTCGCATATGTTTTTATTGAGTCGGTCGCTGTGCGGTCTGTGTTGCGCGCGTGGGTGCACTAACCGCTTGTCTACTTTCTCGTCTAAATCTGCGACGCTGTTATCGATGCGGAAAATATCCATCAACTCTTGCTGGAAAGCTTGAGCAATTGTCCTGCAGATTGTATGCGACACAAAATGTCAGTTCTCTCTTTGGTTTTCCCCTCGCACGGCGTGTGACATCAGGGGTACGCACGATTGCGGGCGGCGGCCGTTGGGCTTCCAGTCCTGGTCGAGCTCCGAATCTGTTCTGGACATTTTTGTGATAATCCGACGGTTTTAAACTGTTGGACCAAAATAAAACGGTTTTTTGTGTTTCTGACGAGGAGGCGCAAAGTATGAAGTTTGGAGAGACGGAAAAGAGGAGAAAAAAGAGCTGAACGTTGAGAAAGGTCGAAGGGTCGTGGTTACCAGTTTGAAGGCAAGTCCCGGGTCCAGGGCGCGCGAATGGCGGGCTAGTACCTTAATTAAAAAAAAAAAGAGGTCCCAGCTGGTTGGCAATTCATGCGGTCCTTGCGCCTGGGCAATCCAATGGACCGAATCCCTCCCCCTCCTGACAGCATCGCAGGCTGGGTAGCCACTGTAGCCTAATCCGGGATGGGCTGAACTCTGCCGTGGTGACCCTCTTTGATGACCATCCTGACCCCTGATTTCGAGATGTCGAACAAAGCCTTCTTCATTCTTATTTCCCTAGTCCCCTTTTCCCAATCTGGTGATGCGCCTTGCTGATTACCTTGCAATTCCGTTTCCACACAAAATCAAACAATGTGACCATGACGGAATCGATTTATTGTGGTATGCACATGTACAGATGCTGTTTAGAATGCGTCATTTACTGTATATATTCCGGCATTTTTATCCGTCCAGAGTTGTGAAGAGAAGAGTCGCAAGCAGCGGTGGTGGGCGATCTTGCGAGATGATCCAAATCTCTCTAGCGATCCACCATGAGATTGCATAACGGAGCCATTTTCCATATTGGCAGTTGGCAAGAAAACCGGGAAATAATCGACGCATAAATCTCATTTCTTCAGCGCAACCCAAACTATTTGTGTATCTGATGACGGGTCGGTGAATGGCCGAATCTCAAAGGAGGAGTGCACCTGCATCAAGAAGTGGCCGCATATGATCGGGTCAGCTTTTTCTTTTTTCTTTTTTTGGGTCTCGGGGATTTTGGACAGACTGCGGGGTTGAAATGAGTTGGCCGCGCATGGACAGCACAGAGCAAATCCGTCTGTCGCGCGCTGATAGTGACTTTTGCGTTATCGCTGCATATTCACTAACAGCTTCTTCAACGAAACCGTCAGTACGCTGCATGTACCAACCTTGACCATGATGACTCTTTTCTGATCACGTTGGTTTTCAGGGCCTATCAGGCAGAAGTCATCAGCACAGAATCTGAGTTTCTGTTCTGTTCTGTTCTGTCCAGAACATCACCATCACGAAAAGGCAGATACGACGGTAATAACCCTAACCCTACCCTAGACGGCAAGGTCACGGACGCACGGACTATGCTTACCACTAACACACGACGAAAGCGGCACCAGCTGGCTAATCAAATTGTTTGACTGACAACCTTATATTGTGCAAAGTCAATGCATTTGACAAGTAAACCGATCTCAACAGACAACAATTAAGAAACAAAAGCTGCGTGGCGCAGCGGAAGCGCGCCGGGCTCATACCCACGAGGAACCCGGAGGACCCTGGATCGAAACCAGGCGCAGCTATATCTCTTTTTCTCTTTTTTCTTCCCCCCTCTCACTGAGTTCGTGGCTTGACTACAATGTAGGTCGGGACTCTCTCAACAACAAAAAACGTCTTGAGTTCATTCCAGTTGACCTGCTTTCCTGGTTTCATGGAAATGTCAAACTTCCACACCAGACGCGCCAGGAGTAGTCGCATCTCGGCCATGGCGAACGGCTTACCTATGCAGGCACGGCTGCCGATCCCGAATGGCTTCTGGCAGTTGAGATGATCATTTTTAAACTCGGTCGGTCGAACGTCTTCCGGAAGCCAACGGTCAGGGAGAAACTCGCGCGCTCGGTGGAAGTACTTTTCTGAGAAAGCCATCGAGAGGAAGTCAACTTGAACGTGCGTCTGATTCAGCATGTTAGTTGCGTGCCGTAATACTCGAGAATGTTTTCTGGTTTCACTTGCCTTTTCAGGGAGATAATATCCACAAACAGTCGCCCCGCCCTTGGGAACAACCCTCAGCAATCCTCCAGGCACAGGGTTTGCAAGCCGCATGCCCTCATTGAGCACGGAGTTTAAGAAAGGAAGATTTGCCAATGACTTCAGCGTCATTTCGTCCTCCTTCTCGAATGCACCGCGGATCTCATTTTCCAACTTGTGTATCTCACGAGGGTTCTGCACCATAATATTGAGCAGCCCAGATAGCGTGGATCCGGTCGTCTCACTCCCTGCTAAGATCACATTCGATATGCTGCTTTCAATCTCGGCCATGGACATCTTGGTGTATCCAGGGTTTGTCTTCTCATCAATCATGGGACCGACAAAGTCGATCTGTCCGGCCTTGTCTGACTTGTCGGCCACCCGTTGGTGCAGCTTGTCAACGGTGAACCTAAAGTGGTCCACCTGCTGCTTCTTGAGACTGGGAGGGATGAGGAGGAGCAGGAGACGCTCAACCCAAGGGTAATACCTGGTCCCGATGGAGAACGTCATGACTTTGACGTAGTCAAAGACCATATCGACCCACGGGTGGTTTTGCGTGTCTACGAGACACCCGAATGACACCCCCAGGGAGAGCTCTCCGATTAGGTCAAACGCGAACCAGTTCATCCACTCGACGATGTTGATTACTGCCCCTGATGGTTCTTCCTTGGTGTGCTCCAACAGCTTGCGGATAAGCAAATCGACGTAGGCCTGGATTTTCGGTTCCTGAGTCACCACGGCGCGCTCAGTGAAAGCCGGCATGGCGACCGAACGCATTCGAACTGAGGCAGCATGGTCGTTTGTGTGAACCAGGTTTTCGGGCTGACCCGGCGGAGCCTTCCAGAATATCGTGTCCCTGGGGAATTGCTTCGCTCCAGTCCTGCCGTTGAACATGTCGTGGAGAGCTTCCTCGCTGGAAAAGGAGACTTCATCCGGAGCTGTGCGGACTACTTCTCCATACTTTTCATGAAGCTTTTGGACATCGCGGTTAAGGTCGCCCGTCACAAGGGAGCGAATGAATCTGAGGCGGGTTGCCGCCCACAGCTGAGGACCAGGGACTCGTGCGAGAGGGTGGAGGAAGAGGTTGTAAATGACATTGATGGTAAAATACTGAAGACGGATTAGCTGAGGCGGGGTAGCTGCAAAATATCAGGGACCTACAAGGAAAACAAGGCCTAAGCCTACGGTGGGCGTGCTCCAAGAGACCGTGACGATTTCCATGGTGGACTGACGAGAGCTGCGTTCACGCTCTCCCTATGTTCAACAGCGGACAGTGAGGTATTTATCATGTCACTATTACCCTTCGACACGAGCGAGACCCGTCATCTCAGCTTCCGACGCATTACAACACAGCATATGCACGATTCCTATATATCCTCCAATACCCTCCATTCATTGTTAGCCACTAGGGGATATTGTATGCATGATGCACCACCTCTGTGGATGATCGGCGACATCTCGTGTAACATGATTGGCTGCTTTGACCGTGATGTTACGTATCTGGACGTCTGCTGTACACTAGGGTATTAGTAAGACTAGTTCGGTCTAGTGCGGGAAAGAGACTGATAAGTGTGTGATACATAAGAGCCATGTGAAAACGGCAGCTTAATAGGATCGTTATTGATCTCCCTCAAATTAAACGGAAGAAACTAGTATACAAAACGAAAAGGGGACAAAAGATCTTTTGGCAATAAAAGGTAATTTTTAAAAAAAAAAAAAATTCAAGCAAAAACATACAACACCAAGGATTCCCCAGTGGTCACCCACCTGAGTACTGGTTTGGCGATAAGCTACTGATCGTGGGGATAAAGGTTAGATGTAATGTGAAGAGAAGCCAATGCTGAATGTTTTGTTTGGATTGTGGTCAGATGTGGATGCCGGAGACAAAAAATGGAGAAAGTAATTAACTGATATGTATAAGGTTCTCAAAGTAGTGTTGCAACTAACCAGGCCTACTCTACGAATACACAGAACATGAGGAGAAAAGGAAGAGGTGAGCAACTCCTTAGAGAATGGCATCGTAATATACATGACGGCGGCTGTCTGATCAGGGGGAGAGACAAGGTTCTAAATATTTTGTCTCTCGTTGGTAGATGGTGTTGTAGTCCGTGTGCGCGCTTGGTGTTTCCTGGGAATAGCTTCAATTTATCTCAGAGACTCAGACGCAGCGTAGGCGCGATGTTCTTGGCATGTACCTTTTGATCAACCCCCCCTCCAACACCACCCCAGACCAACCAATCAAAAGCCACATCCAGAACACAGCACCCGCTGGTCTGAGGCCATTAGGGCTGTGAACTTTTCCACACCGTTCAGTAAACGGTAAGCCGCCGGTCGGCCATTTTTTCGCCAAGATCGAGTTTATCTATGCCGCCATACCCTTCCAGGCACCAAATTTTGCAAGGCCACGCTAAAACGTTCCTGTAAAACCCAACGCGTCTACGCACTCGGCGTCGGAGAAAATCTCAAGCGTGCGTCAGGCTGTGATCCGCGACCGGCTGACGTTCCTAGTTCGGGAACAGACAAGATATATCAACCTAGGCAGCGGCCTAACTAGTTGTCAGGTCCATCCGAGCCTGTACGCTCTGTACTAGACACCAACTGTCCGTTTGCTAACACACGATTCCCGTTCACAAGCTTGTTCTGTGAAGGACGTTCCCAATTCAAAACCGCAATGCCCTTCTCCCGCTCGTCACGGCGCATGTCATACATAACGACCCCTTGTACAACAGTGGAGTTCCCGCACCCATCCGAGAAAACCCGGTCCCTCGCGGTTGGTGTTGGGAAACCCGGCCAGTCGATATACTCGGGTGCTTCTGTATAAGTAGCAACCTGTCTCCCTTCCCGTCTCTTTTTCACCCACTCGCCTAATACCGTGCGGTATTCCGAAACAGAATGGTCAAGTTTGACATCCGGATGTTGTAACCACTCCTCTAGCCCCTCTACATCGGCCGGATTTTGTTGATCGTAAGGAATATCCCGGAAATGCATGTCGCGGGTGATGATCTCGTAAAGAGTAAATGTAACGCCTTTTACATCCTCTCGGTCTTTTGCGTATCCGATACCGCCGATCTGGCCGCTGTAGTTAAAGTCAAACAGCATGAGGGCGTCTGTCTCCGGGTCGACGAGGAGATTCCGAGCAGCGATATCCTGGTGGGCGATACCGTACTTGAGATTCAAGTCGTCGACGACGCAAGTCAACTGCCGGAGCCACTCCAGCTTGAACACACGCGACTTGTTTTCTTCTACCGTGCCGCCAGAGATGTAGAGGCTTGTGAAGCCGACCATACGGCCGTGCAGCTCATCCAGCACAAGCCGGTCGAACGGTACAATGTTTGGGTGCGGAGGGAGGCGTATCCACAAGTTCATCTCGTGCCACAGTTTGTGGAGGAACTGGAAGAGGAAGTAGTACTTGAAGACCGCTCTCGTGTCTGTTGTGCCGGCACGTAGCGTATACGAAACAAGGTCGACATTCGGAGAGAGCCGATCTAACTCGAGCAGATCAGAGCGGAGCACGGTTTTGACACGGCCCGGCAGCGGAGCCGCCTGCAGCGGAGGATAGTATACGCAGGTCGTCTCGTCGTCTCTGGGGTTGGTAGAGACCGTGACCGAGACCAACCCGCCGTCTTGCGATAGAGAGATGGCGTACACATCAGATCCGAGAGCATCAATGTGCTTCTTGAGGTGTCCGACGGCAACATCTTCGCTCTCTTGTTCCTCGTCCATGGTGACAGCAATAATACGTCGTTGATCCCAGTCGAGGATATGCCACGTACTCGGCCCGCCGGGCACGATAGCGCCGCCGGGGGCGAAATACCTCCACTCCTCGTCGATCATGTCCTTTTGCTTTTTGGAGAGTTTGAAGGGAAGTAATGTCTAGCAGACTTATTCCAAACTTAACGAGAAAAAGAAGTTAGCCTCACGGGCTCCAGGTATATTTTTGGATGGTGGGTTAATCGTTATAGCGGTCAGTGGTTTATGCGTGGAAGTGTTGGTTTTCGTATTGTTAGTGTACGCATAGGCTACAATGGCAATGGTCTCCTTCATTCCCTCTGACCCATAATCAAGTTTTTTTCGACGCCCTTGTAAGATGTTGGTTTTATCTTGGCATATAAATACCCCTCGGGGTTTTGGCTACCTAGAACGCTTGTCTTACCGTTAAGAAACTGTGGCGTTGGACCGTTTAGGCGGCCGTTTTTCCTGACCACTGAAGGCTGCAAGACTTCTCAAAAATGCAAGCAGAGCTTGCAATTTAGTGAAGCTTCACACCCGAGTTATATGATATACGATCAATTAGTAGCTTATCTAGGGCAGAGCGGACGGGATGCCGAGTTTTCTACCACCTATGGTCGTATGTTACTGAACAACTGGTTGCAGCAGCTTTCGAATGATTGGGTGAGTGTGTTTGTTGAGAAATCGGATGAGGTCATGACTTCGTGCCTAAGGTTGCTTGTAGCACGTGCTATCTTCTAATTTCCAGGATCGAGGACACAGAGGGATCTGCTTAGAGGGTTAGGGTATAGTACAGTATTTTAGCAACAATCCACGTGACTTTAGA